GGGGGGGGGGGGGGGGGGGGGGGGGGGGGGGGGGGGAGAGGAGATAAAGCCCAGTGTTACAGGAATCAGCGTTGCAAAAGCCTGGGTGCTTTCATAAATAGAACTAAAATAATTCTGAGCATTCCTAAGTCTTTGCGTAGTTACGGAGTGGGTGGTGGCTCTTCTGTCAACCCCTCTCCCTGTCCCCTCCTCCCCCTCCTCGTCTTCCTCGTGCGAGTTTGTCTTGGATCCACCTATGGCTAAAAGCAACTGATGACATTGAACATACATCCTCACTTCATTTCCCGCAATGGTTGAAGACGCAAACAGAGGACAAAGAAGCGTTGCTGTTGAAAAAAGCATCCAGTAATAACCTGGCAAACTGTTTGGCCATGTATCCCCAAAGTTTTTTTAAGGTTTTGGATGAGGAGATTCTGGAGCACGTAGCCTCCTCCCCCCTCCTTCCTCATCCCCTTCCTCCCCCTCCAAAAAAAAAAAAACTGGTTTTTTCCCGTACCATTTCGTGAACTCTGGTCTGAACTTAACGAGATGACTAGGACGCAATCACAAACACTGGCTCAATCAGTTCAAATTAAATGCTTTCAATGTATACAGTCGCGAGTTTCACCGGCAAATTTGCCAGCCAATTCGACATTACCTACATTATACCACTTCTTTGGTACCTTTGCTTCCGTAATATATCCATCCGGTATCATTATGCTGATTTTCCGTTGACATGGCTGAAAACAGTAAATTCAGGAGCTCAAAAATCCATTTTTCAAGTAGGAAAATGTTACGAGAGGCTCAAGTATAGCACAGCGCAGCTAATTCACAAAGTACCTTCTGCTCCGGCCTTTAGCTTTTGGGTTGAAGATCGAAGCAGAAAGCGAGTTGAAACCAGGTCTCGGAGTTCGCGTCGAAAGTCAGGTGAAATTATAATTTAAGAGACAAAGCTTAAAAAAATTTTAGTGAAAAACTTCTGACTGTATATGCAGTAGGAACGCAGAAATCAAATTATGCCTCGACCTCAAAGTTGGGCCTAGCTTACTAGCTCAGACCCAAACTCTTAATTAATCTGTGAACGCTCAAAACTAGTTCGACATGCCTTATGTTATTGGGCCAAGGTCCTGTTTCTTACTCCTACTTGTAAAGTTGAGATGCCCACAACTACGTCTTGAACTATAGAAGCTTTATTTCCCATGTGTTGCATTGGTTTTCGATGAAATCGCCAAAACACATAAGTGAGCTACACCTCTGGTATACGCTACTGTTTATTGTAATACACTTTAAATGCTTTTATTTCGAAGCGATGATTTTCAAGGTAATTAATCAGACACCTTATAACACCTTATAATCAGACTACCTTCAAAGGTTCATATAAGAAATCCACAAAAAACAAAATTTTGCTTCGGGATTTTTTTGTTTTTTGATTTTTTTTTGTTTGTTATTCTTCGGGACTCTGTTTAAAATGCGAAAATGTTTTTCCTACAGCGTAGTTCCGAACGGAGGAATGGTCATGGTACAAAAGTCTGACTGCAGAGTTGGAGGTTGTGTTAATTTCAAATTTCACGTGCCCTCCACGATTGAGAATTTCACGTGCCCTCCACTATTACATTAAAACTGAATTTAGAATTACGTGACCGCACGTGGACAAGAAACGTTCTAAAATGCCAGCTTCCTAGTGTTCAATTATCTCTGAACAAACACACACACATACTCTGGTCAGTATGCGTCTTTGCATTTGCATAAATATGTAAAAACGTCTAAAAATTTGGCCAAGAAGACTCGAAAAGTATTGTTACAGCCTAGAAACTTCAGTGCAAATAAGAAAGCTGAGGACTTGCCTTCCAGCCGTCGTTACAGTCGTGATAAATGTTTATTTTCGGGTCAATCGGCGACATTTCATGTATGTACCCAGATACTTCAAAATTACCTTGCGAATCTGATTTCGCTTCGCCCATGAAATCGTCCATATCAATTCCTTCAAAATGCAGCTGGTTATCACTTCGATTTCACAGATAAGCTTTATAAATGGATAAAAAGAATTAATCACTGATCAGAAACCATTCTATCGTTGCAGCCGATCATTGGCCTTTGATGCTCTCATTGCAGCTGAATGGAACTCGATTCATGACATCAGGAGCACATAGGCTTTGTGATTTTGGAGATTCTGTGATACTTGAAGCTTAAATTCACTCCTTGCTATGGTACTTTTAACTGCTAAACGGCATTTTTGGGCCTCGCGAGTGAAACACCTGATTGCTTTGTAAAAAGGGCAAAGCAACTTAGCTGGGGAAATTCTTGAAATTTCCATGACCAAAATCTGGGACAAACTATAGAAGGCCCTAATTCGCCTACCGTGGGAAGAAACTAATTGGAGACTGGATTTAGTTAAAACCTTTTACTTAGTTAAGGATTTTCAAATTCCTATAGTGTCTTTGCTGTCAGTCCCAAAAATGGTTAGTTTCTGCACCCATTTTAATTCGCCGAACGGCTTCTGGAACTCTGGGTTTGAGTAATCCACACTTTTTTTGCTCATATTAACCCGAGCAAGCATGAATTTATCGTACCTCTGTCATCGTCATACAATTTGACGAGTACTCGATTAGCCGGCCTTCCGTTGCACATCAGTGTGCCCCTGACACCGGCACTTTGCACTCGCCCAATTAAACCACCAAAAGCGCAGAATGCCACTGGGCTAAGTGACAATAACAATAATAACCGGAACATCTGAAATCTCATGTTGTTATAGACGAAAATCGGAGATCCCCATATCTGTGCCGCGTTGTTGCCGAGAGATTGAAATTTCTAGTAGAAAACTAGGAGCAACATTTTCAACGCACTAAAAATACCAGGACAGCGGCTGTCGGACTGGGTGTAAAATTTGCTTCCGCACCTCGGGTAAAGCTATAATAGGTTCTTCTATCCCGGGCTGCATACCTCCAGTTAGTACCCTGTGCTTGTTCATTACTGCTACCTGGAAGCATTTATTTTCAAAATAGTTGATAAATATTTCGGCATGCGTCTCTGTATTTCCGTCGATTGCGCTGGGCAAAAGCCTACAGCTCCACTGTATGCGGTCCTCGTTCCATAGCTCCAACTTTATCTTCCATCCTTCGATATACCAAACAGCAGCTCTTGCGTTTCAAGGATGGGAACCCATCGAAAAACACCCTAGACCGTGTCAGATCTATTATCACATTGCCGCCGTTGTTTAACGACACAGCTTCAACCGAAAGGACCTCAAAAATTGTGATTGTAATTACAGATCCTCGTAAATTTAAATAAAGAGTTACACTCCTAAATCTTTGAGTTATATATGGATGGGGAAAATAACCTCAACATTTTAGCTTTTTATCTTTTCTCGTTCCCGAGTTAGCAAATTTCCCACCAAAACTTTTCGCCCTCTCGCACGTGGGACCCGCACTTGCGTGAGGGTTGGTGTCGCGATCCTGGGGTGGCAATTGGCCGGGAACCCATAAGCAAAATTCTGGCGTTGGAGTTTGCTTGGTTGCCAAGTTAAAATACCCGGACAGGCGAAAATACACACACACAGGGTCGTCGCAACATGTGTTTTTGCAATGGCAAAAACGCATAAAAAGCTATTATAACTCCTTATCCAAAAGTAATTACGACTCCTGTATCGTTCAACATGCACATCAATGGCATCACGAAATCGCTAAATCACCCCCAATTCAAGAGAGCCGTC